TTTTTTTTTTTTTTTTAAATCTCGGCCTGCGGGGCTCCCCCGGCGCTCCGTCACTTCCTCCCTCGAGGCGCTTCCGGGCACGTGGTGCGCTTCTCTGGGCGCCGCTTGCCCGTTGCCCTGGCGACGGGAGCGGGATCCTGGCGGGACGCGGGGCCGGGAGCGGCGGGAACGGCCGGATCGGCCGCCCGGCGCCGTAGTCGCGGTTCCGTGCTGGACCGGCAGGTGAAGCGGACCCGGGCATCGAGGTGTTGATAAGCATCACAGCCCGGTGGTTCGGCAGGCACAGAGGGCTCTTCGCCGGCCTGAGCAGGTGTCCCTTGCGCTGGGGCACGCTTCACCGTCGGTCCTTCTGGAGACTGGTTAAGCTTGTAAACATTAGTAGCTTTGTGTATCACAGAATCAGTTCGGTTGGAAAACACCTCTGAGATCATCGAGTCCAACCTATGACCAAACACCACCATGTGAACTAGACCATGCACTAAGTGCCATGTCCACTCCTCCCTTAAACACCTCCAGGGCTAGTGACTCCACCGCCTCCCTGGGCAGCTCATTCCAATATCCGATCACCCTGAAGAAATTCCTCTCAATCCCCAACCTAAACCTCCCCTAGTGCGTCTTGAGACTATGTCCTCTTGTCCTGTCACTCTCTGCCCTGGAGAAGAATGTAGGTTATAAGCTGTTTGTGTTGGTACCTGGAACAAGCTTTGCTGAACAAACAGAACACAGAGGTAATGATGGTGCTTGGGAGGTTTTCTGCACGTGCGAGGTGGAGACCTACCTGCATGAACACGGTAAAGAAACCATAGTGTTGCCTGTCAGTTGCCTGGCTTAGGGTAAGAGTGGTTGATTATGGCAAACTTATTAATTTTTAACAATAATGTTGTCATCATTAGATGACAAGTAGAGAGGAACTATTTACAAGAGCATGTAGTGACAGGAGAAGGGGCAATAGTTTCAAACTGAAAGAGAGAAGATTTGGCTTAGATATTAGGAAGAAATTCTTTACTGTGAGGGTGGTGAAGAATGGCACAGGTTGCCCAGAGTAGTTGTGGCTGCCCATCTCTGGAAATGTTCAAGGCTAGGTTGGATGGGGTTTTGAGCAACCTGATCCAGTGGAAAGTGTTCCTGCCCATAGCAGGAGGGTTGGAACTAGACGATCTTTGATGTCCCTTCCAACCCAAACCATTCTAGGATTCTATGATCAATATATTTGTTTCAAAGAAAATGACAAATGCCCATCGGGTCAGACCAGTGGCTCATATAGAGGAGAGCTGGTGAATTTCCTTTAAGGATGACAACACATGAACCAAGGATGGGTGGGATGAAGCAAAAGAAAAGCAGAAATTAATCATGCTCCATCTATGTGTACAAGATGCAGGAGCTCAAGAATCACAGAGGCTAGGAGCAGCATAAATGCTCCTGCAAATGACATGTTTGAGCTTCATGTTGCAAGAACATTCCATCTGGCTCTGTAATGATAGTGCCAGGCTATCAATTCGCAGGAGATAACTTCCATTATCAATTGGAGTCGATTTCCATTGACTTAACATCACAAAATAACATTTGCTGCTGCCTGAAAAGCAGCAAAACTCACTGTGCAGGAGGGCATTTGGGCTGTTACCAAACATACTTGCTCTGAATGCTAAGAGTTCTTTTTTAAATTCAGATGGAAAACTGTCTGGCTGATTTTTAGGGAGATAATTAAGGTTATTCAAAACAAAAGGTCAGATAGTGAACAAAGAAACAATGACAAGGCAGGGAACCCAGCAAAGAGTAATCCCCGTGAATCAACCGCTCCTAAAACCCTCAACAACTGGATGAACGACTAAGCCATTTGTCCCTGTTGCAAAACCCACTGAAGTGGATTCAAGGGAGGAAACTCTCTGGAATGTATGCAAATGAAGGGGAGTTACTGCAATAGGACTAGGAGGAAATACACAATAAAGCGGTTTTAGGACTTACTGGGGGGTGCTTGGAGGTTGAGGCGGTTGTTGGAATCGATAAAGAGAATTTGAGGATTTACAAATCTACACTGTTAAGCTGGGGATAAAAATCACAGGCAGAGCAATAGAGGGGTTAAGGTGGATAAACAGAGAGAAGAACAGGGATAAACAAAGCCAGTCAAATGCAATCAGTATGTTCGCCCAAGTTTTGCATCTGATCACCACAGCCTGTACTGTATTTGTAATAAATCATTTAAATTATGTCCTGTTCAATCGTGTTCTCTGTTGTGTGCAAGTGGTCTGCCTAGTCAGCAAGTAGGATGAAAGGTTTGTAGGGCCAGAAACCTGAGACCTATGAAGGCACATTTCTCTGAGCTCTGGTTCTTAGGAACAGGATCAGGCTGCTGACATGGTGCTTATACGGATGTCTTTGAAGTACACCCTCCTGCCAGCATTAACCTGTGTGTGCATCTCTGTTGAGAATTTGCACACCACTTTGCAACTGCTGGGATGTGAAACAAGTAAGCTCTCACTCATCTTCATTGACCCAGGAAAAAAGGAAGCCACTGGATCTTTCAGTCCACCAAATTCAGCTGCCCTTAGTACTTTTTAGGGAAAGCAGGTGTACCTGGCCAATATGTACAATCCATTCCCCTTGTTGTACTCCCATATTCAAGTATGGTAGTAGGGATGGTAGAGGGTACATCAAAACCTGTTTCATTTGGTATAGAGTGTTTTTTCTGTTAGACTGTCTGTGAGGTTTTTGAACCTGATGATACCTTTGGCTTCCATAACTCTTGTGGCAATAAGTTCTTGGAGTGTAAAGTACCTTTTTTATTTGTTTTAAATTGATTACCAACTAGTTTCATTACATGCCCCCAGTCTGCCATGGAAAGCTGCTGAAGAGCTGTTTTCCATTCGCTT